GAGCTCACGGGCGCGTGCGGGTTTGGGCTCTCCGGCGAGGCTGCCACCGCTCCAGGGTGGGCTCAGGAGCCACACGGGCCCCCGATCCGCACACCTCCGGGCTGTGGTCTTGGGTTGGCACGTCACCTGCTTTGTTCCTGCGAGCCTTGGTTTCTTCCTCTGGGAAACGGGCACCGTAAGGAACCGGACTCGCCTCTCGGGGCCGTGGTGAAGCCCGACCCAGACGGCTCGCGGCGGTGGCCAGCACGGGCCTGGCGGGCGCTGCCGCTCCTCGTACCTCGGGGTCTTCTCCGACCCCGGGTGGACACCGAAGACGCGCGCGGGGCTCCGGCACCACAGGCCCAGCCCGCCCCCCGCCCGCCCCTCGGCCGCTGCTCTCTGAGCAGCGAGCGGCGTCCCGGATCCAGCCTGAAACGGGGCACCGGGTGCCCGGCGCCGGGGAGAGTGGGCGAGCGCCCTGTCCGTTTACCTCTGGTGACATCTCCCTCCCCCAGTTTCTGGTGCGGTGGGAACTGGGCGTCAGCACACGTGGGTCCCGAGTGGCGGGGCGTCGCCCCTCTGGGCCTTAGTTTCCCCGTCTGCCAACGAGACCTCACCTGTGAGGGCGGGCGAGGGGCGTCGTTATCCCGTGCCTCCCTCTCCACCTCCGCGGCCACAGAGCCGCCGTCCGGCCTTTATTGAGGAGGCTGCGACTCAGCGCCGCGCGAACAGAGTCTCGGGCTGCCCGGACACGCGGTCTCCACCGCCAACACCTTGACTTCTCGGGATCGCGTGGCACAACGCGGAGGCGCAGGCTGGGCCCCACGGAGAGCGCAGGGATTGCGTCTAGGGGCGGTGGAGGCTCCGCGGAAAGTTCCAGAGCCAGGAAGGGCTTCACACCGGGCTTGAGGTCGAGCCTCCAGGGGAGGGCGGGCTGGCGCGGACCCTCGGAACGCCCGGGCCGGGGCGGCCGCGCGGCATCCGGCGGCTCCAGGTGGCCAAAGCCGGCGCAGCTGCCGGGAGACGCCCGCGCCCTTCCCTGGGTCCAGCGCGCCTGCCCCCTCGCTCCCAGCCCTGCCGGCTGCGGGCTGGCCGCGTGGAAGATCAGTCACCGCGGGGAGGAGAAACACGGAACCGGCCACGGGACAGAGCCAGGCCGGCGCGGCCCACAAACGCCCGCACGGAGCTCTGCCCGCCACCGCCGACGCGGGAGCTCTCCGGGCCCTCAGCCCCTCCTCCTCCCGTGCCAGCTGCCCCTGGGAAGCCCCGCAACCCCAAAGCACGCAGCCTCGCCTATCGGTGCACACGGGAAGCGACGTGAATCATGAGCGAACAGTCGGAAAGATAGCTGATCTCTAAGGTTAAAAGGCAGGACGTTTCACAGTGTCAAAAGTGCTGCCGAGCAGTGGGGCCCCCATTAGGGAGGTCTCTCGAGGTCATCCCGGGTGGGACGGCCGGGTCTGGGAAGGCCGAGGGCTTCGCTCCAGGGGCCTCGGGCTGGGGTCGCAGAGGCCACAATAAATATAAATACATTTATACTCGCGTGGGCATGGCCCAGGCATCTGCTCTGGGAAGTTCCAACGGGCCACAGGACAAGGGGCCTGAAAGCCCCCTGGCTGGCTCCCGGGTAAGAGTTCGGCTCTCCCAACTCGGTCCATCGGCGGAAAGGTCAGGGTTGGCTGACTCCACTTCCTGCCTGGGCCTGTCCCTGGAGGATGGGGCTCAGGCTTCATCTGGCTCAGCCCTGTCCCAGAAGAAGCAACTCAAGGGCCTTTGGCCTGGTCTCCTTGGTACACGGAGACGTCCCCAAAGTGGCCAGCGGGCCATCTAGGGGGCCCAGCCAGGGCCAGGCTGAAGAGCCTCACCCTCAAGATGGCCAGGCCTCATGGCTCAAGCCTCGCAGGAGTGTCAGGAGCAGGGGAAGCTGGCTGGCCTGTCTACTCTCTGTCATTCTGACTCCAGAAGGCTGCGGAAGCTTCCACGGGAGGTGCGACGGGGCAGGGGGTGCCCAGGGGACCTGCTCCCCTGCCCCACCAGCACCTCTGTCAGAGGTTCCTGAGAGGCCTGTGGGCAAGTGAGGGCCTTCTCCTGGGAACGTTGCGGAGCCAGCCGTGGGGGCTGGAGCAACTGAGGCCATCGGCTCAGAGCAGAGCTATGGGCTTGTTCCCTGGTGCGCCCAGGTACTGAGAGGAGGAGGCGGTGCCCGGCGCGGCCATGCTGTCTGGGGCAGAGTACGCTGCGTAGAGGCCCGTCACCTGCAGGTCTGGGAAGGTCGGGTCACTGGCACCAGAGGCGGGAGTCAGGCCGGAGGCCCCCAGGTCACAGCCAAGGGAGGAGTCTCCGAAAGCCCCCAGCGAGTCCAGGCTGAAGCCCTCGTCCTTCATGTCCTCCCACAGGTTCCCTTCAGAGACAAGAGCATTGGGGTGAGCTAGCTGCCTGCTGGCAGACCCGAACTCAAATCCTCCATCCTAGGGAAGAGGCAGAGCATCTAAGGTCCTGTGCAGCAGAAAAGGGAGGGCCAGAGTTCCAGACCTGGCCCTCCCCTTCCCACTGGGTGACCTTGGGGAAGTCATGTCTGTTTCTGGGCCTCAGCATGAAACGGAGGTGATCTGAAAACCCACCTGCCAGGGCCGTGGCGTGGGAGCAACAAGAGTTCCTGTGAAAAGCATATCATTCTCACGGCACCACCACGGTCTACACCTGTGGGGTAAGGCAGCTTTTCCCCCTTTTTAAGCATATTTAGCTACACAACACTGCAGGGAGAGAGGCAGGGGTTCCAGTACACCCATTTCACAACTGTAACTGACTTGGCAATGAACTCGCCTGCTACCTTGCCCATTTCCCTCACTAGAAACTCCTTAGAGCAGAGGCTGTCTCTGCCCTTGTCTGGCCCTTAGCAGGTACACCCATGTTGGCAAATGGGCAAACAGTAAGCCTTCGGTGAAACCTGAAATTGCCATGTTCACTCATTCAGTCGCATCCTATTTGTTGGGGATGGCTTGGTGACAGGCAGCGAGTCGGTGTAACTGGGTATGAGGTTGGCACATGCTAGTCAAAGTAGTTGCCAATTAAGTTTGGAGTCAGGCCAGGCATGGTGGCTCATGCCTGTAATTCCAGCACTTTGGTAGGCCAGGACAGGAGAATCGTTTGAGACCAGGAGTTTGAGATCAGCCTGGGCAACATAGCAAGACCCTGTCGCTATATAAAATTTAATAAATCAGTCAGGCATGCTAGTGCATGTCTGTGGTCCCAAATACTCGGAAAGCTGAGGTGGGAGATCACTTGAGCTCAGGAGGTCGAGGCTGTAGTGAGCTATGATTGTGCCACTGCCCTCCAGCCTGGGCAACAGAGTGAGACACTGTGTAAAAAAAGAAACACACAAAAGTTTGGGCTCAGACAGGTCAGGGTTTAACTCCCAACTCTTCACTTTCTAGCTGCGTGACCTTGGGCCACTGACTTCACTTCTCCCTGCCTCAGTTTCCTCATTGGCAGAATGGGGATGTGGGACAGCAGTGACCTCCAAGGACTGTGGTGAGGTGAGATGAGATAGTGCCTACAGGATGTTCGGCCCAGTGCCTGGTATACAGCTGGAGCCCATTCACTGCTGACTGGCATTTGCTGTCATAGGCTGAGCATCCCTGATACGAAACTCCAAAACCTGAAATGCTACAAAGTGTGGGGGCAACTTCTAAGCATCTCGTTGGCACTCCAAAATTTTCAGATTTCAGATCGTTTTGGGTTTCAGGTTTCTGAGCTGGGGCTACACAGCCTGTCAGGTGGTTGCTGTGGCAATGAAACTGCTGCGGGGCAAAAGCAGACCCAAGTCTCCTCTCCTCTCCCTCCTCCCCTCCTGCCCTCTTCTCTCCCCTCCCCATCTGTTCCCGTGGCCCGTCCCAGCCTCACCCTGCAGTGCAAAGTCCATGATGCTGGGATCCAGCGCGTCCACTTCGGTGCTCATGTCGGTGCTGATGTTGATGAAGTCCACAGGAGCCCTCCCCACGGCAGGGTGGGCCAGGGGGCTGGGGCTCAGGTCTGGCAGAGCGTGCAGTGGCGGCGGGGTCTGGGCTGGCGCTGGGGAGTCTGGAGCGAGCTGTGCCTGGGGCTGGACCTGGTGGTGCAAGGGCACTGACTGGAGAGATAGGGTCGTCAGTGGCTGGGCCAGGAGCTGGGGCACCGCCAGGCAACTGTGTGCCATGGCCACAGTGGCAGTGTGAGTCAGCATGCGGTCCTCGGGCTCCCCTGGTTTGCCAGGGCGCCGGCAGCTCTCTGGCCGATCAGAGATCAGCTTGTCCAGCTCCTCTGTGGGCAAGTGGGAGACGTCACTCAGAACCCACCCTACAGCTGCCAGGCCCAGTCCAGGCCTGGGCTCCAGCCCCAGGGCTGCCACCTGCATGACCTGAGCAAGCCTCGTGGAATCCCTGAACCAGTGTCTCCTCCTCTGTGTGATGGTATCATACATTTTCCACAGGGTGGTTGTGGAGAAGTCATGAAATCACAAAATGACATGGCCAGACAATAATACTAGACGTCTCATTTGGACAGTGCCTTATAACACCATCCTGTAACTCTAGGACTTCACATGAACCTCATCACAGCCCTGCAAGAAGGACGTAAGGCAGGGATTGCAAATCCCTTGAGTCTGGGACAAAATTTGTTCACACGGGGGGTCCTAGCCATTCCCTGCTACTAAAGAGACATTGAGAAGTGTTGGCTGGGCTCGGTGGCTCACACTTGTAATCTCAGCACTTTGGGAGACTAAGGTGGGAGGATTACTTGAGCTCAGAAGTTTGAGATCAGCCTGGGCAACTTAGCGAGACTGTCTCTACCAAGAATTTAAAAATTAGCTCAGGAGGCTGAGGTGGGAGGACTGCCTGAGCCCAGAAGGTTAAGGCTGTGGTGAGCCGTGATCATGCCACCACACTCCAGCCTGGGCAACACAGAGAGTATTTAATGCACTTGAATATAAACATGTAAAGACAGAGGTTACTCTTAAATTATTTTTGGTTGTTGACTATGTCTTGTTGAATGCAATACAATGTTGAGACTAGACTGGTAGGGTCCCAGGATCTATGTGGGCTATACCCATTTTAGAAATAAGGACATAGCACTTTGGGAGGCCAAGGTGGGAGTATCACTTGAGGCCAGGAGTTTGAGACTAGCATGGGCAACACAGCGAGACCTCGTTTTTATGGCGGGGGGGGAATCTGGAAGATGACATGACTCACCCAAGATCTCACCCTGAATACGTGTCAGCACCAACCCTTGGTCTCAAGCCAGGCCCAGAGCTCTGGGCGGGGTGGGTGCCCTGTGACACCCCCCAACCAAAGGCCTGCTGGTTCCTGCTATAGCCTTCTCCCTGCTTACTGGGCCACACTCCCAGCCCCCTTTGCGCCCAGCATGATGACGCCCAACAGAGCCTGGGAAGTATTCCGGAGGCCGGGACGGCATCAGCCTCCAAAGTCAGTCCCCATTCGTGTGTCCCTCACATGGCCCGCTTCTCACCGCCCTTGAATTTTCCTCTCTTTTTTCCTATCACATATTTAAAGACACATCATCCCTTAATTTTTTTTTAAAAAAGCAGATACAGTCTTTTTTCTAATTATAAAAGTAATTCATGGCTGGGTGCAGTGGCTCATGCCTATAATCCCAGCACTTTGGGAGGCCATAGCGGGAAGATTGCTTAAGGCCAGAAGTTTGAGACCAGCCTGGGCAACACAGCAAGACCCCGTCTCTACAAAAAATTTAAAAATTAGCCAGGCGTGGTGGTACAGCCTGTAGTCCCAGTTATTTGGGAGGCTGAGGCGGAAGGATCACCTGAACTCAGGAGGTCAAGGCTGCGGTGAACTGTGATCATGCCACTGTACTCCAGCCTGAGCAACAGAGTGAGATTCCGACTAAAAATAATAATAATAATAATAATAATTCATGATCAGGGTAGAAGTTTTGGAAAATACAGAATTATGGGAAAAATATAAAAATGTACACATGGTTTCCCCATTGACAGTAAAGTTTGGTGTCTTCCCTCCCAGACACACATGCATATTTATTCTCTCCCTTTCCCCACCCTGTGCACGTGTGTGTGTGTGTGTGTGTGTGTGTGTGTGTGTTTTGGTAGGAAATGGCTATGGATATACATGCATTTTAAAAAGAGATTAAGCAGCCGGGCTCGGTGGCTCAGCCTGTAATCCCGCGCCTTTGGGAGGCTGAGGTG